GTGTTATTCAGCGTAGCTATGAACTTCCATCTGAAGGGACCAGTGAAGTAACTGCAGCTCTAGAACATTGTATTCGGATACTTGTAGAATACGTTTTTATGTTAGGAGAGTTTATTTTGCATCTGCTCTGTGTTAAGTGATCCTAGAAAATGCTCACAAACCCCTTATGGTGAACTTGAGACTGAATGCACAAAACCAGAAGTCTCAACTGTTGCTATAAAATAGAGTAAGAATGATCTAGGACATATCTCTCTGAACATCAGCAAACTCATCCTGCGGCTTTCTTTACTTTCAAGGTAGGTGAGCTCCTAGCACTTAATAGTCTGGCTAAAGAACAAAGGAAGTGGTGTAGCCTGGTAGGAGGCAGCATGCAGGTTGCAGCCGCTGGTAGACTGAGACAAGTAGGCTAATCTGGGAGAAACTTTGCAGTTGGTAAAGGAATTGCTTAAAAAAAATCTTGTTTTCTGCTATTAACTTAGGTTTTTTCCCACGATAATTTTTATACTGAAACCGGTAGTGTTCACAGACACAAGTCTAATCAGCCTAATCTGTGTCTACTACTGAACAGATTAGGATATTTGTCCATTCTGGTATTTTAAGGGGCTGATGGTGAACATTGAGTTGAGAGAAGAAATTAGTCCTGCTTTTGATGGATGATACAGACAGAACTTAATGTGAACAGCAAAGGCAGGTCCAGATCCTGCTGCTTGAAGCTGAGAAGGCGGTGAGGTTGTGAAATGGATGGTTCCAACAATGGGACCATCGTGCTATAGTCACACTCTCACTTCTTCGTCTGTTGCACTGATTCAGTAGGAAAATAAGAGCTCCCCCATGGTGCAGTGTGTGAATTGGTCAGACCCAGCCCTGCTCTGCATCCTCACAAGAAATGGACAAGATTCTGTTGGGAAAATGAACACAGTTTACCTCCTGAGAAGAAGTTTCTAGTCCAATAGTCACTGCCACCTAGGTAAATGAATTGCCAGAGGATCTCGAGATAAAGAAAGATTGGGCAATGTGATGGCAAATGTTGCATTTAATATGTTAGAACATATAAAGTAATGTGTGTATGGTGGGGAAAATAAACTGATTATGTGTGCATTGTGACAGATTGTACAATAGCCTTTTTTTTCCTGCATACACTAATTAGGGTTTATCTGCTTAAAAGGAATGTGACCCTACTTTATACCCAGTGAGTAAAATAAAAAAAATTGGTTAATGAGCTGACTAAGCAGCATTTAGCATCAATCCCCCCCGATCAGTTGGGGGAAAGGATTCGTGGAAGCCCTGCCTCGAGGGAAAAGTAGGTGCAGAGTCCCTCTGTAACAGCTTGGAGGGGTGTCATCTGGGGAGGTTTATTGTGCAAAACTCCATAATGTCACAGTCCTGTGTCCAGTGTATGGGCAACAAGAGCAAACGGGCCAGCAGATACAGCTGGGGATTGCAGCCTACATGGTAGATACTTAACGGTCTTGGTGTTGAAGGGATGTCACATTGAAGCTTCTGTTCTTACAGCTAGAACTTGCAATTACTATAGATAAAGCAGACACTTAGGAGGCCTTGAGTTTTGGGACTCTTGTGCTCTGCGTTTCATTCCTTTTTAGTGGTAGGACATGAGCGATTGTTACCTTGGGCCTGTGCCTGTGCCAAGGTGCCTTCTGAGAAGCTGCTGCTTTTCTCCTCTGCTGCTGTTTACTTCTTGAACTTGGCAATTTCTGTTACTTCCATAGTAATTTTTAAAATCTAAATTATTACCCTAATTTGAGAATACCATGTGAATGTGCTTGAGCTTCATTTATACTTAGGTGGTGTCTGTCCTTTACTGTGAAAAGAATTCATGTGGTTAAAGTATCTTAATTATTTTGCACTTTTCCTCCCCATCACAAACGGAACATTCTACATATCAATATATAGAAAAAATATGAAAATACTGTAAGTGAAAAATTGGACAGTCAGGGAACTTGTGATTCTGGAAGAAATGGGTGACTGATCTGTTGTCTACTGAGTATTATCGCAGTAAGACACAGTGCAGGAACTGGGCTGGTGTTCTCTTGAGCAGTCAGATGTACAGTGTATGGCTCTCCTCATGGAAATGTGTGTGTACTTTTTGCCTGAATCACTCTGCTATCACTAAGTGTATCTGATAGTTCTGTTACGTCTTGTTGAGAGTTGTAGCAGCAGCCCGTCTCTTTATCAGTGTGTGTTCCCCTTTGCCTTGTGGTAGGATAAAGAGGATGCAATGAAACATGCAGTTTGTGTGCAGCCATGATGCAGGATCTTTTGCTTCTGAAAGACATGTTTTTCTCTCTGAGGCTTCAGATGTAGCCAAAAAATAGCTTTTTGCTGTTCTGCATTTCGGTATTACGTTCGTAAGATCATGATGTACCTGTAAGATTATTATTTTTTCTGGAGGAGGAGATCAATAGTCTTTCAGAGACATTTGTGCCCACAGGAAACGTCTAAGTTGTTAGCCAATACCACCGGTGCCATGAGCAAGTGACTGTTCTGAATGAATGGGAACCAAATTAGCGGGAATACTCGCTGTTCCTTCTGCTAAAATGCCAATTACTTTGATATTATATCTTTTCCAAGTGACAGCTTTGTTCCTATGCCGGGAGAGCTGGTTTTGTTTTGCCATCTGAATGGGTCTGTTCCTTTTTTCTCTACTGTGCTTGTTACAGAGTGCTTACTTTTTTTTTTTTTTTTTTTTTTTTTAAACTGGAGAACTGAGACATCTGTTAATAGGCTTTTAGTGATGAACCTTATTTTGATTGGAAATAATGTGATGGCACTTTTTGGATGCCAAAGAATAATACCCTGAGGATACAAGTTGGTGGATGCTTACCAGAGAGACGTAAGCTGCTGAGTCACTTTAACCAAAACCAGGTTGATAGGTATATGTTAGAGAAACCTACTGTTACTTAACATGGTAGGAATAATTGACCAGTTGTTTCACAGGAATGGACTTCAGTGTAAAACATGAGCATGAGGTAGAGAACTCGGTAGAATACCTAAAGCACAAAGAGGGCTAACATTTGTTAGCTACACGTATATCTGAAATAATGAAAAGTCAGTTCAGTGGCCCGGAAGCTTCTTTCTAGACCTATTCTGATGTTGGGTTTGGGAATCTGCATGAGCAGGTAGTATGCATCTCATACTAAGTATGAGAATAGTGCTTCTTTGTTACTCGGTACCTGGAACAGTATGCAAGATTTGGAAAAGTTTCAGAGAAGATTTTGAAGAGAATTGAGAAACAAAGGGTGACAAACCAGTATAGGAAGAGATGGAAGGAGAAAATAGATGGGTACATTTGACAGAGTTTAACTGTTGAGAGGTAGGATAGAGATGATGTGAGTGAAGACTGGGGATTATTTCATTGTCTTTTAACTGAAAATCTGGTGGTTAGGGAACTCTCTAAGTATCCAACATGTTCATCAGTTTGCACAATTGATGGGATAGCTCTCCCATAGAGAGTGGCTAGAATATTAACAGATTTTCATGAATTGCTAATAAGTTTGGGAAGACTTTTTAGCCAACTATGACATTCTGACATTAAGTGCTTTGGGTTTCTGAGAATGAAGAAATTGGTCACTTTTGTGAGAACAGTTTTTTTCATGAGTATTTTCTGTTTTCTCAGGGTACAGAGTCCATTAAGATGGAAAATGGACAAAGCACGGCAGCTAAGCTGGGGCTTCCTCCCCTCACACCAGAACAGCAGGAAGCTCTCCAGAAAGTGAGTAAACTTGATGTGAATTTGCTTCTTAGCACTCTTGTTTGTTTGTTTGGGGTTTTTTTGGTTTGGTGTTTGGTTTTTTTTTCCCCCCCCCAAATGAGCATCCGTTACTGATGTTATAAAAGGGAACTCGCCTACCAAGAATATGTATGATATAATGGCCATGCTGTGTGTGGATTCACACTTTCAAATTTGTGCCCAAGAATTATTTGTTTTGGTTTAGAGTTTATAGATGCTTTTTGGGGAGCATGATGTGGAATTTGCTGTTGGGATGGGGAGAGTGTTTTTAATTAAAAAAAAAAAAAAAAAAAAAAAAAAAAAAAAAAAAAAAAAAAAAAAAAAAAAAAAAAAAAAAAAAAAAAAAAAAAAAAAAAAAAAAAAAAAAAAAAAAAAAAAAAAAAAAAAAAAAAAAAAAAAAAAAAAAAAAAAAAAAAAAAAAAAAAAAAAAAAAAAAAAAAAAAAAAAAAAAAAAAAAAAAAAAAAAAAAAAAAAAAAAAAAAAAAAAAAAAAAAAAAAAAAAAAAAAAAAAAAAAATCAAAATCATAAGTAAATAACATCTTAAGATCACATTGTAATTCTAAGACAATATGCAATTGCCACAAAGTTACTGCGAGGAGCAGCCTGTACTCCACAAGGAATAGCTTTCTGATATGCTCCAGCTGGTCTTTTATTCTATACTCACAAGAACACATCACAAAATATTTCTATTTTTCCCTTATGCTCTTTCCCATGTTGTTGTAAAGAGACCCAGTAGCAAGTATTTTCAACCCATTTGAGCCAACCTGTTTTAATCTAGATAAAATTTCAGTCCAGCTCTGACTTCTGGTTGTTGGTCCTGTTTTATACAGCTGGTGGGGAGGTTACTGCTGACTTCTGGCCCACTTTCCTGATGGGAGTGAGTGATGCCTGGCTTACTGAGAGGAGAGCAGAGTTGGGAAAAGAGGGGAAAGAAAACAAAACCAGGGAATGTGGGAACTGTGGGCTAGGTGTCTTCTGTACTCTGGTGAGGCAAGTATAGTATTGTTCTAGGTAGGCTTCGTGTGAATGTTCCCGTAATGTTGAAGTTGCTTGTGTGTGTGTTGTTTGGCTCACAGTGTGAAACGGCCTCGTTTCCTCTGGCTTCTCCGTAGCTGACAGATGTAAATCCCCTTGTCCGTTTCCAGGTTTCCGAAGCACACGTCTCAAATCCACGGTTTAGAGCCTACCGTTCCCTGGCACCTCCCAAACACGTACAGCCATGGAAAGCAGGTGCCTGAGGGGTTGGCTGAATGTGTTTGTACCGTCCCCTGGGAATAGGCACATATGTGGGTATTAGGTTTCCCTTGACAAAGAGCCTCCATGTCAACACCACTGGGTGTAAAGCTCAGGCTTTGTCAAATTTGTAGAAGACTGAAAGAAAAAGACAAATCAGTCTTGTGTCTGCAGGCTAGGAACCAGAGAAGGAGAGCTGGAGCATTTTAGTGAGCAAAAGCAGTGAGTGGGTTCTCCAAACTAGAATAGGCCAAATGTGATAAGAAAAGAGAGGGGGAGTGCCCAGTCAAGAGACTGGACATGGGGATTTGGAGCCCCCTTCCCTTTTGTAGAACCTCTTTGTCCAGATGTTCTCTGAGTGGAAAGGACTTGAAGGAGGCTATCTGTCCTGCCCTCATCCCAGCAGGTAAGGTGCTATGGTGGGATCTAAGGGGCAGAGGGCGGAAGAGGGGAAATGCTAAGTGTGTAGTGCATGCTGCTTTCCTAACATTGCGCCTGCTGCAGATTGAGTCCATCCAATTCTCTGCTCAAGCATTATGCTGTATTTCAGGGCTCACGACTCTGAGATGCAGACCAAGATGTTAGTAAGCTGTTGGCCGCTGGCTAATGTACAGTGCCTTAGTGCTTAGGGCTGGAGCGCCGAAAAGTTCCATTGGCAGCCAGTTGTGTGGTTCTGGGGAACTGTGGTGTAAAATCAAACATCGTTCCCCACTCTGTGGTATTGTCCTGTGACTACAGAGTCTGTATTTCTTTCTAGGCAAAGAAGTATGCGATGGAGCAGAGTATCAAGAGTGTGCTGGTGAAGCAAACCATCGCCCACCAGCAACAGCAGCTCACCAACCTTCAGGTGAGAGACCCTCTGAGATGTTCCTTCTGTGTCTTACTCTCCCCAACAAGGTGGAGTTCTTTTTGCACTTAGAACCAGAGCACAGCCCTGAGGCCTGCCCGGAGCCAGGTACATGCGCTTGTGTTGCCACAGTGAAATTGAAGTATACTGTCTTCAGCCCACTAAAGAAATCCCCTTTACGCACCTGCACAAATTGCCCCCAAATTTCACTCATTCGAAGAGTAAATTTTTAAGAGTTTCTCTCCTGCTGGCTGGGCAAGTGCTTCTTGAAATGCCAGAAGTCAAAGAATTTGCTGTGGGTTTCACTTTCAACTTACATTTAAGGTGGTGTCTAGGGTTACTGGGAACAGTATCCTTTCACCATCTCTTCTGCTTGAGGGGAGGGTACCTGTCTCTCCTGTGTTATTGACAGTGCTTCCCCATTTCCCTCCCCTTCACCCAGGTGCTCTGTCAATTTCAGAGAAGTTCCATTGGTTATTCCTGCTAATGCTGGAATGCCTATGTACTGGGGGAACCCTTAACTGGTATTTAAATCTCCTGTCCTTCGGAGGTTTCTTGAACACATCTCACTGCCTTCTACTCAAAGTTAGGAAGCCCAAAATAATGGCTTTGGGATGTTGGATTTTTTTAATGAAGAATCACTGTGGATGTGCTTGCCACATTAGGCAGCTCTGGCCTTTCAGGGCTGTGCATGTTTCTGAGTGTCTGATCTAGTTGAGGGGCTCCTTTTTAAATGCTGGGGGTGAATCAACGACAGTGGTTGCAGAGGTTACTATTGCCTTGAGTCCCCCCTGGGAGAAGACCCTGCTTCCTGAGGCAGTGGCAGCAGCACAACTCCACCCTGACCTGGTGGGACTGGAATCTGCAGGGTCCCAGCGCTGGACAGTCCTTGGGACCAGGCAGTGAGGGGCAAGGAAGGAGAGGCCTCTCTCGCAGGTTCCCTGTGCCGCCGCTCTGCTTGAGTTTTTACAAACAGCCGTAGTATGCTCAGCTCCAACAGACTGAACTCTGTCTTTACTGTCTTTCAGATGGCAGCAGTGACAATGGGCTTTGGAGATCCTCTCTCACCTTTACAATCGGTCAATAGACATATTCACTTCTTCTTGGGCACTTTGTCTTAGTCAGGGCCTAGAGTGGGGAAGTATGTAGTGGTAATACAATGCTCTTAATTCAACCCAGCACAACCCTCCCACATACCCACCTGTTATGGACAAGCACAACAAGCAGAGGCAAAGTATAAACTCCCCAGAGGAAGACCCTAGGCTGGGTGCAGTCTGCTGTGACACTGGCAGTCGGGGTCCTGGAGTCAGTTGGCAAAGAAAGCTTTAGATTTCGAACAGTTCTGAACACACCTGTGAAATTGTGGGAGCTGCATTTCTAGGGATGCTACAGTTCTGAGGTCCTGACCTAAAACTAACTGCCAAGGTAACTCACACATGGGCAATTTCTTATGAAGCAAACTCAGCACCGGAGACCTGGCAGCTAAGGTGCTGGGGAGGACTGGGGCACTATAGGTTTGCAGAACATATTTGTAGCCCAGATGTAAGACTGTTCTTACTGTGCATGTTTCCAGACTAGGTGAATATGGCATGTTTCAAGTAAAGTAAAAGCAGGATGGAAGTAACAGAACTGCAGGACTATTCAGAGAACCTGTGCAGTCCTTTAGTGCTGGAATTTCTAATCAGATACCACAAAGAGCTTAATTACCTGGGATTATCCATCCCTTCCTTTTTCCTAGACATGTTGGACAATGGCCACTGCAGAAACTGTCCTATAAGCTCCACTCTGCATGCAAACGTTCATTTTGTAAATTCATTTGTAAATTTGTAAATATTTTTCCATCATGCTGGAATATAATATTTCTGCTTGGTGTAAAATGCAACCAGAGGCTTGTACTCCAAAATGAAAGAGGCACTAAAACTAAAATCACCTGTTTTCCCTCCTTTAACACTGCCACAGTACGTAGTGTGTCAGCAGGGGAGCAAAAATAAATTTTATGAGGGTGTGTAAGTTTGGAATGGAATAGAAGCATACATGTCCATGTGAATTTGACATAGCTGGTTTCTGAACCCTCATGCCCAAGAAACTTCTACCAATTAATGTAGATGCTTACTTGATAGCATAACTCCATCAATTTTGCTTAAAAAATTTTTTTTGGCTCGTTATTCACAGCTGGGCAACAGATGAAAAGCATATACTGATAATGTAACAGGAACTGTTTAATTTCTCATTAGCCTCAAGGGCATAGTCAGTATTGTGAATCCTTTTCCTAAGACATTCCTCCCTCTCTAGGGAGTCCGAGACTACTGCTGATGGGACAGAACCTAGAAGCAGGAATTTGCTCTGAATCATTCGGCTGTGGTACAGTTCAGTGTAGTTAGGATACCCTGTCCTCAGCAAATGCTTTATCCCAAAGCCCATCAGGAATGTAGAAAATGCAAACAGACCTCTCTCCAACACTTTTTCCTGTTGACAAGATTCATCAATTCCTACATGAAGGAAGTGCAGTCTGAACTTCCTATTGCATTATCTTAGTGCCTGAGATTAAAGCTTCCAGTCTACTTAATCCTCCAAGTATTACAGCTCAAAATTTCCATGTTACTTCAGCAAGTGAAGCACAACTTCCTGGTGGTGGTGTATTAAAATTGAAGCTAGTGATTATGTTTTTGCAACACCTCCTTTGTTTAAAGAAGTACTCCAAGATGATGTTTTGGCCTGTCCTTAAAATAACCTTCATAAGCACTTAACAGCAACATTACATAGGTACAACTATCAGCTGCTGCCTTTATGAAGGTTGCGGATACTTTAAACTCCATTTTATACGTGGAGAAAGAGGACCAGTGGCCAGTAAAATCTACTTAGTGTAGCTAGTGAAAACAATGAGATTTCTAGTCACAAGTTTCTGACACTGTCATGTGCTTAGTTCACAGGTGTACATTGCATCATTCCCCTAACTTGATGCTACCGATTCCTGTTAGTGATCCACATATGCCTGTAGGCATCATGGTCCACCTCGGTTCTGCATTTTGTAGGTCCAAATTTCTAATATGTTGCTGATGTAACAGAGTCCTCCTAACTCCACCCCACCTATTTTGTTAGGAACTCTTCAGCAGGGTAAGATGTGGATTTCTTCCTGTAAAGGTTGCTGCCATGGGAGAGAACAAATGCCATTTTTCTTGCACCTGTTGCATTGATAACTGAAAAGAAGGGAATGTCCTCTTTGTATATACAGACCCTTCAGAAGGTGAAAAAAAACCTCCGCCTGGTGCAAGGCTGCAGTGTCTTGTCAAGAAGCACTCCTAGTAAAACACTATTTTTATCACAGTCTGTGGCACCATGGGTGAGGCAGTTCACTCAGACACTTGGGGTTAGAATGGTGATGGCTCTGAACCCATAAATGGACACACTACACAGACTGAGGGGCTACTGATCACTGGCTTTCCTGCACCAAAGCTGGGAATGTGTTGGAGAACCTGGGAGACAACACGTCAGCTGTCCTGCGTGTACACGTGCCATAGTCCTCCTAGTCACAGCATTGCAGAGTAAATTGAAAAACAGCTTATTTTTAACTGTGTGAAATACTTAAACCCAGTCAAGAGACAAGCTTAATATCACTTCAGGAGCAGCAGTATGGGGTGAGAACCATTCCTGTTTATAGTATCCCTGCTGTATTGAATAATAGGAGTTGAACCTTTACAGTTTGTTTCCTCCTATGGTCAATGTCACTCACATATGGGTACTATGAGGGAGAAGGATTTCTTCAGGTACAGTTTATGTCCACGCTTCTGTGACTATCACAGATAAAATGCTGTCCTTTCTATTTTGCCATTTGAGTTGCAGCATCCCCAGACACGTCAGAGCTCATTGTGCTCATGCTTGTTACAGCATTCTGAAAGTAGGCCTCTCGTAAAGGCCTTGATTAAACACCCTCTTAAACAGTGTTGGTGGGGAAGAGGTGGTTGTTCAGAGCTCCCTGCTTTGGTGCCTAGCACTGTGGTGCTGGGAAGGGAGAGAGGCATCAAGCTTAATGCTGCATTTGCCTACTCTGCAACAGTCCGTAGCCCTTACTGCTTTACATTTGTTCCATCTGTTCCACGCAGAACAGGAATGAAGCCCTGTGCATATCTCCAACGCACTGTAATTCAGTCTTGCTGATCATAGGGAGCTGCCTCTACAGACACCTAATTTCTGCCTTGGTCCCAAGACGTGCTGCTAGGATATGCTGGCCTGGCCAAACCTGTGATTTTTTCATAGGCAGCATCTTCCTAGAATAATGTTCATTAGTAGTAGCAATTCTAGAATTGCAATAAGGGTGAAAAATAATTGAAGGATACTGCTTTTTTGGATACCTGCTGTAAGAAATTTCTGGATTTGTCTTGCAAACAGGTTTTCAGGCATACTTAGGAGAAAATAGCACAGAGACCTTCTCTGCACCGAAACTGATAAGGGCGGAGTCTTTGGGGGCTGCACCACTATCTGAGCCAGTAACAACAGGCAGTGATAAGTACTAGCACCACACACTTAACTAAGAAGTTTCATTTAACCATTTAATTTCTTTTGCTTTGCTTTTGAACTGCGGTGGAAGTGGTGCCTAGTACTGGATCTCATACTGCCTGGGGTGGGGGGGGAGGAGGTGGTGTGTGATGCTTGAGGGAGTGGGGAGGAGGTACCCAATTCCAGATCCTTTGCTGCCTGGGAGGATGGGGTGGGGGGAGGGAGTGACTAGGTGGTGCCCAGTATTGGATCTCTTGCTGCCCCTTGCGGGAGGGAATGGGAGGGATTGCTAATAGTGTCTAGAATTGAGACCTTTGCTGCCTAGAGGGGGAAGCTGTCCTAGAATGAAGTTATTTCCTCCTCCTGCAAGTGTTGCTGGAGATGTGATCAGGCTGGGGAGGGTTAGACCTTATCAGTGGGGTTGGAGTTAAGGCTCCTGAGGTGGCAGACCCCATCAAAGATTTGACTGCCCCTGGGAGTGAGCTGTACTGCTTATCCGCTCCAGCAGTCTGTGCATTGAGCAGGAAAATACTTCTTTATTACTACGTGTGCCAGGCTGTGCTGCAGCCCAGTGAGGAGCTACCTGCTGTTGGGCCATAGCTCCTGGGAGGGAAGGAGGAAGGGAAAGAGGTCCTGACATCCATGACCACCCCCTGATCTAACCAGCCAGTTCTTCTTTCCAATACAGATGGCAGCTCAGAGGCAGCGCGCCCTGGCCATCATGTGTCGTGTGTATGTGGGCTCCATATACTATGAACTGGGAGAAGATACCATTCGCCAGGCCTTTGCCCCATTTGGACCTATAAAAAGCATTGATATGTCCTGGGACTCTGTTACGATGAAACACAAGGTTGGTTAACAGCCCTTGAGTGATGTGTTTTTCTTCTCTTCAAGGCCTTCCTGAATATATCCAGAAGAAGAAGGAGCCTTTATCCTCATAGAGAGCAGGCTGCTTTTAGCACTTTGAGATAAACGTTTGTAGCTGAGTGCTCTACTTAGCTTTGCGGGATTCTGTGGTGGGAACCAGATGTGCATGGGGGGCAGTGTACACAAAAGATGCCGAAAAGCTAGCAGTCCTGTATGCAGTGGCCTTTTGCTATCAGGCCTCCAAGTATGAGAGGCTCTGGAAGCAGGTAGCCTTGTGTCAGTGCTTCTGCATGCAATTTTCTGCTTTAATAAAAAGCTTCTTTAAGGAAACATCTTCTCAGGCCACGGTAGTAAGAATCTGGTATGTGGGAAGTCTTGGCTGCATTAGCTTGGCACTAGATTCGAGACAAGATATGGCTGGTATGATTCAACAAGCGTATCCTTCTGTCCTAGGGTTTTGCTTTTGTGGAATATGAGGTACCAGAAGCCGCTCAGCTGGCCTTGGAGCAGATGAATTCTGTCATGCTGGGGGGAAGAAATATAAAGGTGAGTAGCAGGCATGCTCTGAAAATTCTTAGTTCTCTTTACTGTGAATAATGATTTTATGCCTAGAAATGCTTCCCGCAGCACTGTAATGTGAAAGATAACCTAAAGTCTGTTCCCTGATAGACCTTGATATTCAACCCATTGAGTACATAGTGGCTCGGGGTCCCTTTCTGCCTGAGGAGAAACCCCCAGCATGCTAATCAAACCTAGAAACTTGTTCTGGTAAGCTAGCTCAGTTTTTTCCACCCACACAAAATGTAAGTCTCTTGAGGACAAAACAAGGGTGATTCCTGATGTTTTAACGCTTTCTTCTTGTATTGTACCTGTGTGGATGGTAGATTAGTAGCATCGGACTCTTGTGCCTGTAGGTAGTGCAAGGGACTTCAAATAGAGGTCCACCCTTGCCATACAAAAAGGAGGCACTCAGCACAAACAGAAAGGAACAAAGGACTGTAGCTGTGTTTCTTCAAGCAGTAGGAGGGGATGTTGCAACGGTCAAACTTTGGGGAATGAAATTGGGGGGGGAAACTAGCATTTTCATAGAATCATAGAATAGTTTGGGTCGGAAGGGACATCTAAAGGTCACCTCGTCCAACCCCCTTGCCGTGGGCAGGGACATCTTCAACTAGATCAGGTTGCTCAGAGCCCCGTCCAACCTGACCTTGAACGTTTCCAGGGACGGGGCATCCACCACCTCTCTGGGCAGCCTGGTCCAGTGTTTCACCACCCTCAGCGTAAAAACTGTCTTCCTTATATCTAGTCTAAATCCACCCCCCTTTAGTTTAAAGCCATTCCCCCTTGTCCTGTCACAACAGGCCCTGCTAAAAAGTTTGCCACCATCTTTTTTATAAGCCCCCTTTAAGTACTGATAGGCTGCAATAAGGTCTCCCCGAGAGACCTTATTTTCTGCAAAGTGTTTTATATCTTACATTTATATCTCTGATACACTCTGAAAATCTGCAGTGTCTGATTTCTAAGGGGGTTCTAGGAGCCTTCGAAAGAAGGATATAGAAGCATTGTGTTTTGCTTTCAGAATTGTTTTCAATTCCTGGAAGTTGATCTTTGGCAGGTCGGGGAACGTAAATAGGGGAAATACAGTGGAGGAGAGAGCGGAGTCTGTCCAGGCTCTCAGTACTTCTAGAATCCCCTGTAGTTGTATCCCAGAGCCAAGCCAACTGTTGCCCTTTGCTAATTATGGCCTTATGAGGTGTTATTTGGTTTGAAAAGGCACTCAGGTGGCTGAATGCTTGTCTGCTGTAACTCTTGGTGAGTCATGCTGCTGCTCTTCAGTATGCTTAATGGACATTTGCTGTGTTCTCTGCAGGTTGGGAGACCTAGTAATATAGGTCAGGCGCAACCAATTATAGACCAGCTAGCAGAAGAGGCACGGGCTTTCAATCGCATCTATGTGGCATCTGTTCATCAGGACCTTTCAGATGATGACATCAAGAGTGTGTTTGAGGCCTTTGGGAAGATTAAATCCTGCACACTAGCCAGGGATCCCACAACAGGAAAACACAAAGGCTATGGTTTCATTGGTAAAATGGCTGTCTGGTATTTGATGTGGGGTAGGGAGAGTGGTTAGGAGCATCCTCATCTTTCCTCCCCTGCCCTAGTGAAAGAATTGCATTAAGCAATGGGATAGAAATAAATTTGGAGCAGATCTGTACCTGAACTTAGAAATATAATTAATAGCCAGATATTTTTACTCACTTTTATGTAGGTTGAGAGATCTTGCTATGCTGACTGTTCTCAGGAATGCTTGTGTGATTAGAGGGGTGAGATGAGTGAGCAAAGCACTGAGGGTCTTCTCACTGGAACTCTAAGCAGCCGTTTTTTGCAAATACAAATCACAATTGTGTGATGAGAGAGTGGCTGAGTTTAGGAGTAAAAAGGATCATTTGAAAATATTCCTCTTTCTCACTGCAGAATATGAGAAAGCACAGTCTTCTCAAGATGCTGTTTCCTCCATGAACCTCTTTGACCTTGGGGGTCAGTACCTCCGAGTTGGTAAAGCTGTGACTCCTCCAATGCCTCTCCTGACACCTGCTACGCCAGGAGGACTACCTCCAGCAGCAGCTGTCGCTGCAGCAGCTGCTACAGCAAAGATCACAGCACAGGTAAGGCATAGGGTGGTATGACTCAAGCAAGTGGATGGTTGTTGTGACCCTGCTAGAAACAAGTATGCAAACTGTTCCAGCCAGCTGTATTCACTAGTTTGAATGAAAGCGCTTGGCCTAGATCATACTTTGTTCCCAGGACTTCACATGTAGAAGCTTGCCTCTGACATTTGTGAGGATCTGATACACCAGCATTTTGGAATGGAGTCTGGCATAGCTGATCAGAACTTTATTTAAAGAAATGGTGGGGGAAGATTGGAGGGAATTCCTTGTCTGGATAGGCAAACCAATGATTAGGGAAATGGTTATAGTAGAGGCTAAAAGAATGCGTGAAAGTACATGAAAGGGGGCAGACTAATGAGGGCAGTAATAGTCGCATGAGCAACACTGTTGTTGAAAAGACTGCCTGTGTAGTAAAGTGGAAGACAACTGTAATGGCTTTAGGCTGTTCAGAAACAAGGAAATGCAGTGACGGAGCAGAATTGGATGTTGATGCAGGAGTCTAGGGGTTCTCAAATTTAGTTTGCTTGAAGTAGCTGAAGCTCCTGGCTATAACCAATAGGCACTGATGGAGGAGGATTGCCTTTCAAAGCAAACCCCCATATCTGTGTCCATCGTCCTTGCCTTGGGCAGCAGAATCTCCCCCTGCGTCGCCATAGCCCGTGAAAGAAGCAAGTTCCAGCACTGTTGGGTTCTTGGATTCTCTCAAGCAAAAAAATTGCTGAGGTGTGCAGCCTATATGTGCTGCTAATCAGCTGACTGGACTTAATTTTGTAAACAGCTCTTTTTTTGAAAATATTTTTCTGAATCACACGGTAAAGGCAGAAGTGGGAGGAGCTGCCTCTGATGTGAAACTCTCAGGTGGTTTGCATGTCCCCAGTAAAAAGTCCACAAGTCTGGGAACCTCTGCAGTCAACTAAGGAAGGAAGTTGAGGCATGGCTAGAAGAATTATTTGGATCAAAATCACTTTGGGAAAGAACTGTTAACTCTTCTCTTAAGTGATATGGTAGAGTTCTGTTACAGACATGGATAAATCCTACTGTTTCTTTCTGCAAAATAATGTGGGATTTGTTACTGTGAGGAAAATTTAAAATTCCATATATAGAAAAAAGGTTCTGAAAGACCTCAGAGATACTTGGCAGTCTTGTTGCCTTTACTTAGACATGGTACAGATCTAGGTAACCTGTCTGATTTGCCATGTGGGTAATTGTAGATGACTAGGGAAAAGAGTAAGAACAGTTACAGAAGGCAGTATCTCTTACTTATACTCCTAGCATAGTTCTTGTATGGAACAGCTTATTTTAAATAAGAACATACGCAGTCATGGTCTGTAAGGGCTTTAATATCACAATTTTTTTTAAACACAAGCTGATCAGTGAACTCAGCAGAGCTAAAGAAATCATGGACATGAGAGAGAAACTTAAGTCAGAGATAAAATTTTGGATCTGCAATCAGAACTGCAACTTTAGTCTGGAATTAGCATGCCAGCCAAGGAAGGAGGAAGTGTCTCCGCACTTAAATGAAACTATGAAGAGAGGGGTATTGAGTAGCAAAGATAGTTAATGTCTTGACAATGACAGTAAAAAAGTCAGTCTTGCAAAAGAAGTTAAAGAATTAAAGCTATTAGGAAAAGTTTCTTTAGCCATTTAAGTAAAAAGTGGGGGCAGCTAGTGACCAGTGTAGTCAAAAATTATGATGGTCTTGTTACAGCACTGAATGCTTACATAAGTATTTTTCCCCTTCATTAGAAGCATAAGGCAGACTGGCTAACGATGCACATGGGATTATTGCATCCTAGGTGGGTGTAAAGCTTGGAATTTGTCATGTGCAGATGTACACTTAATAGTTTGTTTTTTTTTTTTGTAGTAAGTCTGTCATGTCAGGGCTATTGCCATATAGCTGAAGAATAGCAAACATGATACTTGCATTTAAGGTAGCATGGAAGTCTGGTATCTGCAGACATTGTTCTCACCCCAATGGTAGAGAAAAATTGAAAACAAGCTTTAAAGGAAGGATAAAATTTTCAAAAGAAACAGATATGCAAAATGTTTCGGTGTTTTAGGGAAATGCCCCTGCTAGATGAACGTAACTTTCTTTAAGTCTACTGTTACACTTCGTTAGGAAAAAAAAAATAAAGGATATACTATCAACAATTCAAGAGTTGGTGGAGACCCCTATGAGAAACTGTTAGACAAGACCAACACTATTACAATGAATTTTGAGATGCGTAGGCAAGTGAGAAGAAGAGACGGAAAATGACCTGTGCTGGAAATTGCTGACCTTACACTCTGCTGGTGAAATTACTTACAGATAGGTCTTGCTTCATCTCCAATAAAAATATTAGTGGCCTTATTCTAGGCATTAGGAGAAGAGTACTAACAGAATTAGTTGGCAACACAGAGATAAGATGCATTATTAATGTAGAGGAGAATTGGAATATCGCAGCAGATTGGAGTAAGAAATATATGCAGCATTTAGTAGTAGAGTACAAGATACTGCATTTAAGGAACAAAACCTTTAAGAATTTTTTGTTCCATGGTGTCAGGGCTTATAGGAGCCCCATGAAAACAAGGAGGAGAAGGATCTGGGTAAATAAATCATAATAGCCTGGAAAGCAACAGCAACAACAAAAAAAATTGAGATCCTAGGGTATATTTTAGGCACGTTATTTTCAGTAGTTTTATGGAAGTGTTTTATCACTTAACTAGGTGTTCATCTCGAATCTTGTTTGAATTCTGGTCATCTAGAGTCAGGATGTTTATTTGGATTATAGAAGGTATAGAGGAGTACTGCAGTTATTGGGAGAATTGGAAAACCTGATATGCAGGTGAAGAAACTAGAAAAGTTTGGCTTGGTATAACTGTAGAAAAATGTTGAAAGGTGCATCAGACTTTTGCTCAAGTATGGTCTGTATGGAGGCAAGTAGGTGACGGGATGGGAGAAGAGGTGCAGACAACATGGACAAAAGGAAGTGGTTATAAAATGTTTAAATTATCAAGGCTGGAAGTTTGAAGAAATTTTCCAGTCATCGAAAGCGATAAAGTTCAGTAGGGTCTTACCAGTAAAAACGGTGGTGGCAAAAGTTAGTTCTATGATTGTCTCATTGAGAAATTTACTAATGTGATAATTGTTTGCAGTTGCTATGATCATGAAGGCCAATCTCAGTGCTGTGTTGCTGTCTGCACCTAAAGGATGAAGACTAGAGAGATGAGATTTTTGGTTTAAACTGATCTAAAAGTGTGTGGCTTTTGAAAATAGCAGCATTGTGCTCCCCCTTGCCCTGTCCCTTGTGCTTGCAATAGTGTTTTTGACTACAGCGTTCCTTGAATCAGACAAGGATTAACCTTCCACCAGATCACTTAGGAAAAACTTAAGCTGTAAGAGTTCCCTCACCTGGTTTGTCACATGGCCCCAGGGCCCTGGTGCTGTCATCAGAGGGGGTGGGATGGGAGGTCCCATCCATCTTTTTAAATGGATCACATTCCTCAGCATCAGTAAAAAGCTTTATTTGTGTAGAAGGTGGAAACAAGTAGATTCCTCTTGCTCTGGAATTGCCTGCATCTTTCAAACCATGTATTGAATTCCTTGGTGTCTCTCATTCAGTAACGGACCTAGCAGCTTGAGAGGATGGGTGAAATTTGAGTTGCAAGAGAACGTTTTCCAAGGCTTGGTGTCTTGTAGTTTTTACATTTCTCTGGTGGGCTGGGTGGCATACTTTTTTTCTTTTACAGTAGCAGTGGAGAGCTGTCATCCTCAGAATCTATATATCTGGTATTTCTTAGGTGTGAAAAAAGCTGAGCTTCAGCTGCATGCACCCACAGTATGACTTCTTGATGCAGAATTAACACTTGGGGGGTTTTCTGTTGGTTTTTTTGTCTTGCAGGAAGCAGTGGCAGGAGCTGCGGTTCTTGGCACTTTGGCAACCCCTGGGCTGGTATCTCCAGCACTGACTCTGGCCCAGCCGTTAGGGGCATTGCCACAGGCTGTAATGGCAGCACAAGCACCGGGAGTCATTACAGGTATGTTTACTCTTCATTTTGTCACTTGTGTACCTGTTACAAAGCATGGTTCTCTATAGCTAGGATCACAACTAAGGAGAATTCGAAGCTGAAATCCTCCTGCCTGCCCTGCTTTGTCAAGAACTTTTATTTTTTTATTTATGCAGCATAGCAGGAATTGATTTTGGTATATAATAGATACGACAGGGACATGAACTTCACAGCAGGAATGCATGGCACTCTGAGTGAAAATCTGGATAATTGTTAGTCCATGCAAAATCCTGCACTCTCTCCCTTCTGGGCAAGTATATGATGCATGTATTGAGTGCCTATGTCCTTTGCGCTAAGTTGGTGCTTATGTCTCCCTGGTCGTTGTTGGTGCAGGGCAAATAAAACCATCTAGATTCTGTGATCCTCTTTTATCACTGGCTGGTGTGTACCCAAATGTTGCAGAACATCAGTTCTTTTCTTCATACTACAGAGTTTGTACTCTTACAGGTGTAACCCCTGCCCGGCCTCCTATTCCTGTCACTATTCCACAAGTGGGAGTTGTGAATCCTATCCTGGCTAGTCCCCCAGCATTGGGCCTGATGGAGGTGAAAAAGGAGAAGGAAGAAGAGGAGGTATTCCAGGAGTCAGAGAGGCCAGAGATGCTGAGTGAACAGGAACACATGAGCATATCTGGCAGCAGCGCCCGTCATATGGTGATGCAAAAATTGCTTCGTAAACAGGAGGTGAGTGCAATGTAACTGCCCTGAGCTGGTTCCAGTTGTCAGCAAATGAGACTACTAGGTTTATATCTGTCTTAATGTGGTATAGCAGTGCAGTTTTGTATGTGGTACAGGCTTCCTGCAGCACACATTGTAGGTACCCCACAGAGTTCATGTGGGACTACAAAGGCTACCTGCTTTGTGTGCTGCTTGTGTGTGCTGCTTGTGATGGTTCTTATTCTGCCTTTAGGATCTTCTCAGAGTTTCTCTGAGGGTTAAGACCAGTCACTAGGGCAGAAGAGGCTTGGCTAGAAGGTGTCTCTGATTAAACTGTGTGTTTACTTAGCATCATTAAAGCAAACCGTGATGGCCTTTTAGCTTATAATTAAAGAAGTGAGACTGGCACGCGGTCAGGGGCAATCTGTTCCAAACTATTGAGTCCACCTTTTCCCCACAACCTTTTACTGTAGGATGAAACTCTGTGAAATTTTGTTTTATAAACACCTCAGAAGTTACAATGAGAAAGAGGACAAGAATGAATGATAGAAAAAGTCAGAACATTAAACAGAACAACAGATCCATAGATTTGGGGGGGGGGGGTCTTGGAAGGGTCTGTACTGATAATCTCATCAGGCTTCTTGTTTGGGCATGACCAGAGGTTTGTTCCCATGCATGACTGAGTTTTCTATCTGACATGCAGATTTCCTGAGCTTTGATACTGAATCGACAATGTTTCTTCTCTGTTTGCTAAATAGGGATAATGCTGATAGGCATTTCATAATGGAGGACACAAATGAGTTAGCTAGTGAGTGTTCTCCTTTACTTTCAAAGGGTACATAATTTTAAAAACATCTTTGAGCTTCTGACTTAGCAGCCAATTTTCCCATTGCAAGTACCTTTCCCAAAGAATCTAATTCATTTGGCGTACTTGCTTGAAAAACGTTTAGCAGTGTCGAGAAAGTCTTAAACTACACCATTCTCAAAGCTGCTTAGCATTTTCAACCTATGCGTACCCTTCTGTTTTTGCTGTTCTTTTAATAGACCCTTAAAGGCAGTTACACAGATGTGAATAAGAACTGGAACAAGTATTTTAAAATTATACTGAGCCTGAAATGCCATGTCTGCTAGCCTATGATGTTGGGCAGGGCCAGAGCTGGGAGGAAGGGATGTGGTAGAGCTGGGTGTAATGCACAAAACCAGCGGCTGCCCAGAGAGGTTGTGGAGTCTCTATCCTTGGAGATGTTCAGAAGTCATCTGGACATGGTCCTGGGCAACTCTAGGTGGCCCTGCCTGAGCAGGGGAGCTTGGGCCAGGTGACCTCCAGAGGTGCCTTCCAACCTCAACCATTCTGTGATACAGAGAGGTGCTCAGTCACAAAAGGGCTTGATGGGGGGATGCATATGAGAGGTATGTTGCAGGCACTCTGACGGACTCATAATGTCGTTATCCCCTGTAATGAAAGTACCTGGTCAACGGTCAGTTGTCAGAGGTATAAAAGACCTGGTTAATCCTTCTACTTTATTTAGAGATGAGGAAAATTTTTCAAAAAAATACACGATGGTGGTGTTGAAGATAAGAAAGCAAAACATAACTGGATAGGAACAGCACGAGAAAAATTATAGAGGTCTGCAGGTCACTTGCGCTTCAAAGATGTGTCTAAGAAAAGCCCAAGAAATGACACACAGCTTTCCTGACTGAGGCCAGCCACAACACAGCTGTCAGTGAATGAGATTTGTTCGTGCTTCTGATGCCTGGGAAGAAAATTTACAAATTTATCCTTGAGAACTTGGGACATTATTGGTTTCATGGAATATGCTTGTAATGACATAGCACTGGAATATCTGGTGGTGCTCAGGCAATGCTGCATAGTCTGATGTGGCTTTGCAAATTTAATCTCAGTATCTCTCAGGTGTATTAATTCATTTGTCTTGGCCTTCTCTCTGCAGTCCACTGTGATGGTGCTTCGCAACATGGTCGATCCAAAGGACATTGATGATGACCTAGAAGGAGAAGTGACAGAAGAATGTGGCAAATTTGGGGCTGTAAACAGGGTCATCATCTACCAGGAGAAGCAAGGAGAAGAGGAGGATGCTGAGATCATTGTCAAGATCTTTGTGGAGTTCTCCATGGCGTCAGAGACTCACAAAGCCATTCAGGCTCTGAATGGGCGCTGGTTTGCAGGAAGAAAGGTGGTAGCAGAGGTGTATGACCAGGAGAGATTTGATAACAGTGACCTGTCAGCATGAACTCTACTTGAAAGACTTCGCCCCTGCCCCCTCTGCCTGTCTGGTTGTTTTTTTTTAGCCATGTGTAAAGAACGCTCCAGGGTGGGCACAGATCTCTGTGATGTACTTGTAGTTTGGATAAAAGCGCAAAGAAAGCTAGCGTGCATCTGTGTGTGTGTTAAAGGGGCTGACATCTCGTCAGCTGAGCCTGGCATGGGTCTGGTCTCAACCACCTAGAAGAGTGGGGCCAGAGCCTGAAGAGGGGTTGCTGCTTGTGCTCCTGCCTTACACTGTGGTCACTTCAGAAACACTCAGGTCAAGATCCTACTGCACCTTTTAGGGGCTGGAATAGCGGTTTTCTTCAGAGATGGGCCATAAATGGTTGGAATGGAGGAGGGAGTCTCTTCATGAAGTATTTCAGCAGCAACCTTGAGTGCTGCTGTATTAACAACAAGGAGGGTAGCTTGGGTGGTGCTGGGAGGGAGCTTTCCTGCTGAGGACCTGCATGTTGAGCTTGGACTCAGGAGCCCAAACATGGGTCAGAGCCCAGAATGGAACCAGCTGGCCCTTTTTGGAGTGTTCACATCATGTTTGTTCCGATACCGTAGTTTGGACCTCACAGTTTTATTGATGGGTCAGAGTTACCCTTACTGATCCTTCCTTAATGTGCCAAAATACGAATAGCAAGTCAGGCTGCAGGCATCACAGCTGGGTTGAGAGTGAGAGTAGTGTTGATTTGCAGCACCTAAAGTGCATTTATGAAATAAACATCTAGCCCTTGTGCTATGGACAGTGATATGGAACACATGCCTTGCCTGAAAGGAAAGTTTGGGTTTTTTTTTTTGTTGAGGACTCAGAGCTTTAGCAATATTTACAAAGCTTAAATGCACTTATTTTGGTAATCTTTCTTTTGGTAATGAGTAGGAACAGAATTAGCTCATGTTAATTATCTTAAATATTTTAAGTATCTAAGGGGCTACTATATTGCTTGTTATGCATAACTGGTACACAGCACAGATCTGAAGAAAATAATTTTAGTTTAGAAATTCAAATAAAGGAAGAATGATCTCAAAGGAACTTCAGTAGGGAATTCTGAGTTGAGCCTGCAGCTGTGGGTTGCTTCTAAGCTTGGAGATGTTTTTAAATTTTTGTATTTTGTTTCAAACACTCAAAAGAACCCTTCTTCTATTGTAAGTTAGAAATTTGTATTTGCAGTTTAACTTTATTTATGATTAATCTATGTTTACTACTTTTTGTACAAATATTGCCTGTTAGCTTAAATAACCTTTCTTCTTCCCTGATTTTGTACCCATTCCAAGTTAATAGCAAGCCTGTCGTTTTCAACTTGTGTTTTGATAGCTGAATTCTCTTGGGATCGGCTTGCTCTTTCCCTGGTCATCTGCCTTAGCAGCCCTTTTTTGCATCAGGAGTGGGCTGATGCAAAGCTTGAATTTCCTTTTCTTGAAAGTAGTTGATGAGACCTGCTGAATATATTGTATAGTGGCATTCGTCCTTTCTTATCTGTGCTGCAAATGCATCATCCCATGCCATCTGTGATCCTATTGACCTCTCTCACAGCCACAGCATACTGGTAGCTCACAGTTGCCCCAGTTTTGCAGTGCAGCACAGGTTCTTTGCTGCTTTTGTTTATGATGCAGGAAAAAATTCACTATTTTTAATTGTTCCAGAGTTTTAGTATTCCTACTAAAGAAAACCAAAACACCTCTCCCATGACTTAGTTGGTCTGTCTAGCTTCCATTTTCTGCTATTTGCTCCTGTTCTGTTGGCTGGATTTAGGAGTATAAAGACTGCACTAGACGTTTCCTTGTGGTGTTGATGGTTTAAAAAAACAAAGTGGATAAAAGTTGATGTAAGGGGAGAGCATAGATTAAAGAATGACAGTCTAAGTGTTAATCAACAAGTTTTTGTGCACAATCAATCTTACTTGGCTGACAAGATATTTTACAAAAGTAACTTCATAAATATCTTGACAAGTCAAATGTCTGACAAAAGATCATCTGTCTTGACTTCTATGTGGCCTTTGACACAGTCCTCCACAACATCCTTGTAACTAAATTGGAGAGATACAGGTTTGGTGGATGAACTGTTAGATGGATAAGGAATTGACTGGATGGCCGCATCCAAAGAGTTGCAGTCAACAGCTCCATGTCAAAATGGAGACCAGTAACGAGTAGTGTCCCTCAGGGGTCCATACTGGGACTGATACTGTACAATATTTTTATTAATGACATAGAGAGTGGGATTGAGCACACCAGCAGCAAGTTTGCAGATCACACGAAGCTGAGTGGTGCAGTTGATATACTAGAGGGGCGGGATGCCATCCAGAGGGACCCTGACAGGCTTGAGGTGGGCCCATGCAAACCTCACGAAGTTCAACAAGGCCAAGTGCAACGTCCTGCACCTGGGTCAGGGCAATCCCTACTATCAGTACAGACTGGGGAGATTAAGGGATTGAGAGCAGCCCTGTGGAGGAGGACTTGGGGGTACTGGTGGATGAAAAACTAGACATGAGCTGGCAATGTGCACTTGCAGCCCAGAAAGCCAAGCGCATCCTGGGCTGCATCCAAAGCAGTGTGGCCATCTGGTTGAGGAAGGGGATTCTCCCCCTCTACTCTGCTCTCATGAGACCCCACCTGGAGCACTGCATCCAGCTCTGGGGTCCCCAGTACAAGAAAGACCTGGACCAGTTAGAGCAGGTCCAGAGGAGGGACACGAAAATGGTCAGGGGGATGGAACACCTCTGCTGTGAAGAAAGGCTGAGAGACTTGGGGTGGTTCAGCCTGGAGAAGAGAAGGCTCTGGGGAGACCTTATTGTGGCCTTCCAATACATAAAGGGAGCTTACAAGAAAGACAGGGAAAGACTTTTTACCAAGGCCTGTAGTGACAGGACAAGGGGCAATGGGTTTTAAACTGAAAGAGGGTAGGTTTAGACTGGACATAAGGAAGAAATTTCTTACGATGAGGGTGGTGATACACTGGAACAGGTTGCCCAGAGAAGTTTTGGATGCCCCATCATTGGAAGTGTTCAAGGTCAGGTTGGATGGGGCTCTGAGCAACCTGATCTAGTGGAAGATGTCCCTGCCCAAGGCAGGAGGGTTGGACTGGATGATCTCTAAAGGTCCCTTCCAATCCAAACCATTCTGTGATTCTATGAATCTAAGATCAGGTGTTGTACAACATTGTAATTAAAATGCTATAGTGTGAGCTAAGCACAAATTGATTAGGAATAACTGACAAACAAAATATAATCCTAAATAAAAAAAAAAAATATTGAATGAGGAAGGGCTTTTTTTTCCCTGGGATCATAGAATCATAGAATAGTTCAGGTTCGAAGGGACCTTTAAAGGTCATCTAGTCCAACCCCTAAATATCTTAATAGATCTTAATAGAAATCTGCTTTAGGCCAAATGTAGACGTTTCTAATGATTTAGGATTTTGAAGCAGGTATAGAAATATGCACTTAACAAGCTAGCATAGCAGGTCAGTAGCATGTTAGGCTTGGCATAAGTGGATATAGTCTGCTTTGTTTTGTTTAAATTTAAAATGGTTTATGCATCAGTGGGGGATTCTGACTTGGAAAGCTGCAACTTGGAAAAGGATGAGAAGGTTATGGGGATAATCGGTGGGTGTGCTATGTGGTGTTGGATGTTGTGGTGTTCCTCTCAGGGCAAGTTCTGGGGGGTTCACCATCCATATAGTTAGCCTTCTAGGTGACTGTACAAGCCTGACACTGTCAGTCACTAAAAGGATGACACGTGTGACCAGAGGAGCACAAAGTTGCACCATGAGAGCCTCCCTTTGGAGAAACTGGCCAGCTGCTGCCATAGGCTGGTGAGCCAGTCTGTTGGTCCCCGGGAACACTGGTTATGTTGGACCCTTCCCTGAATTTATTGATGGCCTCTCACCATTCCCTCCCCATTCCCTCATATACGATGCTTCAGAGATGTCTGTGCAATCACCAATTCTCATTTAATCATGTATTCTTCCAATTACTGTATTTTGTGTCGTGCTTTCTCGGCAAACTGGAAAAAGTTGTAGATGTCTTCAGGTGCAGCATGGATCTAGTAGGAGTACAGACAAAAGAATGGGTTCCTCTACATTAGCCTATTAGTCAGGCTTCAGTCTTTCTTGATACTCCTTAAATGGTTGTAGTCTGAACAGTATTCTGATAGGGTGAAAAAATAACAAGGTGTCTTCAAGTTACTTCACCTTCAGGCTTTTTCAGACTTTTCCTGTTGACAGAATACACCACTCTGCAGAGTAACAGTTTTCAGCTAGTTTTATCTGTGTAGGGCTTTCTCAGTTGATCCTTTGACAGCATTGGTCTTCAGGGTGAATTATTTGAAAAATGTGGGCAATTCAGAATGGCCTTTTGCAGAAGCAACCTCAACATCTGGAAACCTTGCCACATGACTCCACACCAATGGACTTTCCTAGATTTGCAACCTAAATTAGGACAGAGAACTGTGCCGATTTCTTTAAGATTCAGGCACAGGTCTGCAGTAATTGCCTGAAAGACAAAAGGCGGCTAAACCTGTCCAAATTTGTCTTCCTGTAGTTCCTGGAGTGCGTATGTTTAGGTATGCCAATACTGAATGATAATCATACTGGCAGCTGTGGTGTGTCACAGAGGCCCATATATATCTTGAAGCAGAGTGTATGTAACTTGGGTAGTACCAGAATTGATCGAACAGAAGCAGAACTGAGCAGCTGGGATGCTTTGTTGCCTTATTTATGGCAGCAAGCTGTTTGGGTGCAGCTGCACAAACTATTGAATAGCTCTCTCTGGTGGCAACTGTCAGAGGAGGATCTGGGTTTTAATGAAAACATCCCAAAAATGTTTGGGGTAAGGATGAAACCTTTTTGCCTGAGTGCTGTAGCTTACAGACTGGGCCTGACCAGTAGAGAGTTCAACTTTTCTAATCCCTAAAGGAAACAGCATTGGTGGAAAGTAGAGGCCAATAGGCTGCTCTAGATGGGCCTTCATGTCTTGACTCTGCATCACTGGTTCCTTACCAGCAGAGGGGTCAGAAACTTTAGCTCTTGTAAGACTGTGGGCCTTCCCTGTAGGCCCAAAGGCACTGTTTTAAAGAGGATACAGCTTAAGTGGAGGTGAGAAAAATACTGCACCACAGAAGC